CTTTGAACACATGGCAAATGCGACCTAAGTTTTCCGAACTCAACTCGAGTCAATGCATAAATGCGGGCGCGTACAGTGAGCCGAACGTGTGTTGTTTTTCGCACGTACGACGAGTGGCGAATTTGGCGAAACCTCTGCGACGCAATAAAACCTCCGTCGAAAACCATAGTCAGTATGTTGACATACCTGAAAATGTTTTGCGCGGTTCAAACTTCACGTTCAGCGGAAGTCGAACACTGTTCGGCTCAAGTTCAAATGCTACATTCGACAAAAAAAAATATGAACTTAGCCAATTTCTAGATTCACACACGCCCTTAAAAACAAAATTCATTTTTCCCATTTCTTAAGCGCTTGCGCTTAAGACCATTCCTCATTTACAACCCCTAAAAAAATCGATTTTATTATAAGCGCATATGCGCTACTATCCGGGGGGATACGGCATATGTCTTATAATCAGAAAAGGGGTTTCGGGGTTTTCTTATAAACAGGGGGGTGTCTTCCGAACGATGCTTGATTACTTTAAGGGGGTACATGCATACATTCATGAATCTCTACTTCTACCTAGCCCCCCTCAGTAACGGCCTCCTCACCTGCACTAACAGCAGGCTCCCTAACACCCAGGTCTGGCACTCGCCAGGCATGCCTAGCCGTCTCCCTAGGCTCGATCAATCATGGGGTCAGCCTCGGCCGCCGCTCCGTGGTAGTTGGGGGTCTTCTGGTACAGCGCCTCCAGGCAGGTTGCCACGGCCACCTCCCTCACGCCCTCCGCCTGCATCTCCTCCTCCTCCTCCTCTGGAGCCTGCCCAAGCAAGCGCATGTTGTCGCCCATGGTTCCCTCAAGGCACATGTCCTCGGAGACATCAGTGGTGCTCCTGGCGCACAGGTGAGACATCACCAGGTGAATCTCCGTCCCGTCCAGCTTGCTTGAAATCCCACAGTGGCGGAAAAGTCAATGATGACCTGCTTGGGGACTTGATCCCACGCCTCCGCGATCCACTGCAGCTAAACGACGCTGGCAGCAGATGCTCAATACCGAGTCAGTTGTTTGTCCTTGCTGTCGCGCTGCCTTTTGTCGAGTCAAAGGTCGCTGACCTTTGACCTTCGCGTAACCTCCGGCTGTTACTTTCTTTCAACCTCCTCGGTTGACTCGCCGTTGCTTCGCTGTAGTTCGCCTTGTTAGCAGTTCGATGTTTCGACACATCAGAAGCGTTTAATTAATTGTTTCCAACACTCCCCTTCGCTTCTGGAGTGTCGTTGCTGGTGACGTGGCCTTGTCCAGTCAGCAGCATGCAGTACTCGAACTTCTGCTTTCCAAGTTTCTTGGTCAAGTAATCTGTTGCCATCTCGGATGTGGGGCAGTAGGATAGCTCGAGTCTCCCCTTCTCGATCTCGTCTTTCACGAAGAAATATCGCAGGGCGATGTGTTTCGTTCGATTCGCAAACCCTTTCTTGTTCGCTATGCGAATAGTCGATTGGTTGTCGCAGAACAGGGAGAAGTTGGGTAACTGAGCCAGCTTCGCTTCTTCCAGCAGTTCGCGAAGGTACAATCCTTCTTTGGTGGCTGAGCAGAGTGCGATGTATTCTGCTTCAGCTGAGGAGAGAGCAATTAGCTCTTGCTTGTGCGACTGCCAGGAGATGGAACCGATAGGTTCGAGTCGGTAGATGTAGCCGGTGCGCGATCGCCTGTTGTCGGAGTCGCCGGCGTGGTCAGCATCCACGTAGCCGATTAGCTTGGGCGTCGTGGTTCCATTTTTGTGGTAGGTTAGATCGATCGTCGGAGTGCTGACGAGGTAGTGAAGAGCGCGGTCTAGTTCGGCCATGTGATCCGCTTCAGGCTTCTTGAGGTAGGTGGCGAGTTGACTCGCTGAATACGATAGATCCGGACGGCAGGTAACGGCTGGGAAGAGTAGACATCCCAGATTTCGCTGGTAGTCGCGTATGCCGGCGGGTTTGAGTAGAGCGGAGGTCTCCTTGCGATTTCTGTCGGTGTAGCAGTATGGTGTGGTGATGACGGTTGGGGTTAGTCCGAAGCGTTTGGCGATGGTGTCGGCGTATTTTGCGGCGCTGAGGTAGATCGCATTTTCTCCGTCTTGTATGTTGAGTCCCAGGTACTGTGTGACTGTCGAGGAAACGGTGAGTGTGAGGTCCCGCTGCAGCTCCCCTTCGAACCAGGTCGTGATGCCGTCGGTCGAGCCGATGTAGAGAAAATCGTCCATGTAGACGATGAGTAGGATGTATTCGGTGCCTTTCGTGAGCCGGTACATGCCTTGGTCATGTGGCAATTGGCGAAATTCGATGCGAATCAGTCGGGCGTGCAGGTACTGCTGCCACAGTCTCGGAGCTTGCTTGATGCCGTATAAGGACTTCAGCAATTGACAGAAATGGTTGGGGTCTGCGTTGGAGCCGTGCGGTTGCTCGACGAAGATCTCAGAATCGACAGGAGCGTAGAGAAAGGCATTGGCGACGTCGATTTGGCGGAGCTTCTTCTGTTTCATGGCTGCTATCGCGAGGAGAATTTGGAGAGAGGTGTGTTGACTAACCGGTGCGAATGTTTCGGTGAAGTCTCGTCCATGGTCTTGGTCGAAGCCGCGTACGACCCAGCGCGCTTTAAACTTGTCGATCGTTCCGTCAGCTTTTGTCTTCACGCGGAAGACCCATTTTCCCATGAGAACGGTTTTGTTGCGTGCCATTCCGATAGGTTCGCTTTCCAGGTGTTACGTTCTTCTAGCGCCTTTAACTCCCTGCCCATGGCTTCATGCCATTTTTCCCTGTGCTCCCCCCCCAGAGCCTGCTGAACTGTGGCAGGCTCCTTAGGTGGCGCTGCTCCGTGGACGGCGATGACGAGTCCCAGTATCTGCAATCCACTCTGTGTGTAGCGAGGGAGGTTTGCGTCCTCGGGATAGACTGCTTCGTCTCCCGCTCGCTTCAGGATCAGGTAAGAAGTTGGGTCCTATGCGTTCTGAAATGTTGGTATTGACTGGCTGGGGTGTAACGTAGCCGTTGTCGGCGAAGTCGTAGTAGACTTCGGCGTTGATGCTTTCGCGAGGGTTGTCGTCGTCCATCGGGATGTCCACCGAGCAGTAGGTTAGAGGTCCAGATTCCTTCGAAGCTCCGTCCACGTTCTGATCGTCCCAGTCAGCTTCATCTGCTGCCGAAGCGAAGGCTCGGTCACCATGAAACCCTCCGTAGGGTCTCGTTTTGCTGCCAAGTTGTCCAGATACGTTTGAAGGGTGAGTCGTTCGTAGAAAATGACGTCGCGTGCTGCCACTGTTTCCTTCGAGTGGACGTCAAAGATCTTCCACGCGTTGTAGTGTTTTTCGATGCCCAGGTGTAGCCCCCACTGTGCGCGTTCGTTGTGAGAATCGGCCGGCTCGTGCAGTTGGGGGTCGGTACTGTACCATGCACCCAAAAACTCGTAACATTTTTGTGCTGCCCAATTTTCCTGTCCATAGCAAGTGCGGTGATGCGTTGTTCGGAAGTGATGATGACGAGAGCAAGTCGTGCAGCATTACAGCGTGGTCCATCGCCTCAGGCCATTGGCTGTCAAGTAGTCGCATGCCGCGCAGCAGCTTGCGCATGGTGGTCTAGAGAGTTCTGTGTTGTGTGATGCAATCATTTGCATTCACGTCTGTCTGCCTTCCATTATATATTTGTGTGTTGCATGCGCGGTGTGAGCTTGTGCAAGAATTTGTGATTCGTGTGGTTTGGATTCTTTGAGCATGTGTGAATGATATTTTTCTTGAACAGATCTTTGAAATGACTCCTCTGCTCAAGAGCTTTCCGACGAACCAAGAATCGCTTCAATCGGAGCACGAACGAGAAAGTTACGAACGTTCGAAGTTCGTATGCTTCTCATGTTTGGTTGTGACGACTATGGGAAGTTGTGGGAGTGACTCTATATGGGGTATAGACTTTTGGGGGTTGGGAAATTCGTCAACATCACTGTAGATACTGCCGAGTGGTTGGGAGAAACCAAACCAGGTTGGCAAGTGTGGCCAAGTTGGGTTGAGGTGGATTGTGGAGGTTGGGATAGTGACAAAGGTCAAAGTTGGGTTGCCTATGGGGAAGGGAATTGTGTGGTATGGGGTTTCCTTGGTTGGGGACTCTCTTGGGACCTTCCCTCTCGTCCTCCTCTTCCCTCCTACCTGGTTTATTGCTACTCTAACTCTCTTGTGTGTAACTTGTGAATCTTGTGACAACAATTGTGATTGAGTTAACTATCCATGGCAGCATACCCCCCAGTGCGCCAAAACTCAAAACTCGAAATTTAGTTCACTTTTTGACGTGATTCAAATTGGGACTTGTAGTTATGCTCTACTACAACATACTCCGTTTTTGTGAGATTCTAACGGTGAACTTTTCGTCGACAGCGTTTCTTGTGAAATTGACGATTCTGTCCAGAATTCTAAGCCAACGATTTTGTGATATTTCGGTCTCTAATCTTCACAGACTCTGTCCCTAATCTCTAACATTCTGTTCATCCGCTCAGCCACACCTTGCTGTTGATGGGCGTAGGGAAGCGAGTTGAGTCGCTTGATGCCTCGTTTTGCCAGGTACTGCTTGAACCTTTGTGACTGATACTCCCCTCCCCCGTCTGGCTGGGAGCTTTTCACCTTCACTCCTGATTCTCGTTCTGCTACTGGAAGCCAGGCGACGAAGGCTTCGAAGGCCATGTCGCGGCTTGGAAGGTTGAGATGCCAGACGTAGCGTGTGGCGGCGTCGATGAACGTGATGACGTAGTTATATGCTCCTTGTCCTTGTGCACGGGCGTAGAGGATGTCGCTGTAGACTTTCTCCAGTGGTGCGTATGCTGGTGCGCTCGGGTTGTGGTGAGGGATGAACGGTTGATGAGGTAAGTCAGCTTCAGGGCAGGTGAAGCATGTTACGCGAAATCGTTGAAGTTCTCTGCCGTCGTGTAGAAGCAGTGGGTCCTTGTCAAATACTCCTGCCCTGATCGTGTTGTTTAACATTGTGTTCCTTGGGTGTCCCATCCTTGCATGCTAGATTGATTCGCTGGCGCGGTGTCCTGGTGAACGCCTGCACAGGTCGGAGTTGGAGTAGAAGCCTGCGGTGAAGTTGGTGCTTCTGTAGATTTCTCGTGGAGTGGGAGCTAGCTGCTGTGCGGGAGTCGGTGGCGTATCGACGATGAGGACTGGTGCTCTTGAAGGACCAGCAATTGGTGTTGTAGCCGGTGGCGTTTCTGCTATCGCTGCTACCGATGTTATTTCTGCCACTGCTGATGTTGTCTCTGCTACTGCCGATGTTGTCTCTGCTGCTGCTGATGTTGTTTCTGCTGCTGCTGATGTTGTCTCTGCTGATGTTTGTCGAATTGTTGCTAACGCTCTTGTTCGTTCTGCCTCAGGTATAGTATGTGAGTACCAGAATCCTCCAGGACTAAAGTCGGGGTCGAGATCTGGCGGGTGTGTCCAAGAGGTGAAGTTGACGATGGCGTCGCTGTCGGCGGTGCCTTGGTCTGGAACGAAGTCAAGGACGAAGACATTATTCTTCAGGACTGCTTTGCTGATGTAGAGTCCACCCTTCCCGTGGTACAGCTTGAACTCCTGAGTGGTGCTGTCTGCTTCGCGATGAATTCCCTTTGCCATCAATTGGCTGATGCTGAGTAAGTTGTAACCAAGTCCCTCTGCGATTAAGTCCTTCGACATTTGCAGAATAACGTTGGTCTCTCGAGACTGAAGTTGGACTATCCCTTGTCATCGTGTGCGCCGGTTCTGGTTGTCGGCGACAGTGATGACGACTTCGCGGTGAAGCTGTTGTTCTCGTTGAACGAAACGACCCGAAGAGCGCATTTGCTGTCTGCAGCAGCTGTCCAAGAACCAGGTGTCTTTCCCGGACGGCTCGCTTTGAGCGATTGCTCCGTACATTGGATTGGGCTCCAATGACTCGCGGCAAGGAGTACTTTCATCGAGCAATTCTTCTGGTGAGTAGTGCGGCGGTGATTCGGTGATGCAGGAGTCTGTTATTATTGCCACGCAACTCACGATTTTTTTTGTGCCTTGTGCAGGTCGAGTCGTCGATGTCGTTGGAGACTGCACTTGATTGGTGGGATGGGCCTGTGTCGAAGCCACCTGACTGGTTGAAGGTCGAAGTTGACGTTGCAGCGACGTTGGCTGCTGTTGATTTGGGCAATGAGTGCGAGGATGTCATGACGTCTTGCAGGGATGGCAGAATGGTGGTACGTGTCGTTGTGCTTGATGTTTGTTTTGCCGGTTGTTGTTGTTGTTGTTGTTGTTGTTGTTGTTGTTGTTGTTGTTGTTGTTGTTGTTGTTGTTGTTGTTGTTGTTGTTGTTGTTGTTGTTGTTGTTGTTGTTGTTGTTGTTGTTGTTGTTGTTGTTGTTGTTGTAGCGTCGTTGAGTATGAAAAGCGAACTCAGGTACTAACGTTCTTCTCTTTGACGTTCTTCGTGCAGGTTCATAACCTGCTGTTCAGCGTACATTTCGGCACAGAGTGCCGTTTCGGAGATCTTCCCGTGAGCTCGGAGAATAGCTCGAGTGGAGCACCAATGAGGACCGAGGTCAGTGATGACGACTGTGACGAAGGCTTCTTCGGATATCGATCCTCCGCATCGAAGGAGTCTGTCGCGCAGTCCGCGACAACGACTGATGTACGCCATTCCCTTTTCGCCCGGTTTCATTTCCACTGTTGTCAGTTTTGCCTGTTAAGAGAACTAGGCAAGAATGGTGCATTGAATGGAAGAATTGGGTACAAGTAGCAAACCCTAGTTGGGGTTGTACCCCATATCAGCTACCCCACTACAGCCTACCAACATATAACACATTACAATTTAACATTGCCATGAGGCGACTCTGATTAACGCTATCTCTTGCTTGATACAGGTTCTTCAGATGGTTGTACGCGAGCTCCGCCGAGTTGCCGTAACCACGATAAGACCAGATGTTTTGCTGCTCGTTCGGCGTTATGTTTCGTAGGAGTATCGTATACGCCATCAGCGACTGATACGTGTACTGCTGCTTGTCGTACTGTGTTCCGTGTGTTGGGTATGGCAGGGAACCGTCGAAGAATCCCTTCAAGGATTTGCGCGCCTTCCATCATCAGCTCGAACTCGAAGGACCAGGTATAGAAATCCTTGCCGTCGAACGGTGTTGATGTTTGCAGTTTTAGAACGTGAGCAAGCTGCGACTGTGCTTGAAGTGTGTCCAGTGCTCTCTCTTGTCCAGGTGGAGGCTGATTCGGCATGAAGCTGGTGGAGCCGCGCTGAGGCTCTTACGGGGCAAAGGTAGGTTGTTGCTGGTTTCCGCGCGCATATGATGAGCCGTCAAGACTCATTGGAGTGACGCCATTGATGTTGTCGCTGTTGTTTGATTACACAGGTGCTGCTCGTTGGTGCTGCTCGTAAAAGGACATGAAGGAGAAGATTTCTCCATCATGTTTGGATCGAAGCCGGTTGCCTGGTTCGCAGGTGTTTCAGTAGACTCAGCAGCTGGTCTTGTCGCCGTGCCTCCCTCTGTCTGTAGGCCAGAGGCTGGAGGTGGAGTAGGAGTAGTGCCGGGGGATCCGTTAGTGGAGCTTCTCTCCTTCTGTGTTGCCATGCCTTCTGTTGTTGTAGGAGATTTGAATGAAGTTGGATCTTGCCTTGTAGCTCTCGTACTATGTTGGGCTGAGAAAAGCCCTTAGGATCTTTTCAAGGCTAAGATCCTTAGTAGGAATGTTGTAAGTACGGAAGCGTTTAATGAACTTGTTGAACCACCTTTCGCTAATGTGTGAGGGCAAGATAGATTGATTATAGCAGGATAATACAAGTCTTTTATAAGATTACAAGGAATATGAAAGGATGCAACTAATAACTGTTTTACTGTTTTTGTTGCGGTTCGATACAGCGACAACTCGTGCAACTGCTCAATACCGAGTCAGTTGTTTGTCCTTGCTGTCGCGCTGCCTTTCGTCGAGTCAAAGGTCGCTGACCTTTGACCTTCGCTTAACCTCCAGCTGTTACTTTCTGTCAACCTCCTCGGTTGACTCGCCGTTGCTTCGCTGTAGTTCGCCTTGTTTGCAGTTCGAAGTTTCGACACATCAGAAGCATTTAATTAATTGTTCCAACACATGCATCACCACCGAGGTCGTCCTGTTTCAATGAATCTGGCACATGGGTGGTTTCTACACACACTGCAAATGTTACAGAGTACTTATTTTTTTTTCATTTATTAGACTTTTATAAGACACCCTAAACCATCCCAAATACAAGATAACCCAAGCATTTTGAGTAGTGTACGAGATAAGACATATATGTTTACTATCCGGGCGATGACGGTACTTGTGTTGGTGTTACACTTTGGAATGCTAGGGTTAGGGTTAGGTATTTGTACCTGTGTTTTGACATTCAGTTCACATTCTCATTTTGACAATGATATCGTATGCCCTGGCCTGGATGCAAGATCTGTTAGTAGTGAACACTCATGGATAGTGTATCCAGGATTCCAGAAATACACAGAATTCTCAGACTTCTCATGGTTTCTGTTTATGTACAGAAATGATATTCAGACTTCTCTGAGATGTTGAAAATTCAGTAGTATGATGCTGGCGCACAAATATATTTTTCTCCTACAGTTCCAGAGCAGGACCTAGCATTATACTCGTAGAATCTTGATATAGCTGTGGTTGTGGCTCCGCTGTAAAATCGGTAAGCAGCTGAACATGCCATTGATGGCGAGACTGGCTTGACCCTCCCCTTCTTGCAGAATCCCAGCTTGAAAGACCAATAATCCGCCCGAAGACAAACCTGTGACAGCAAGACGCCAAGATGCATGCGCAACAAGTGCATGAAAGGATCACCACGCCAGAGAAACCAAACATTACAAGGACTGACTAGACACGCAGTATAGAGAGTTCGACGATACCGGTACCCAAAAAAAAAAAAAAAAAAAAAAAAAAGAAAACAAAGTGAAATTTAGACTCCCAGGTGGGCTCTGGCAGCAAACAAAGCACACTCACCCTTTGCTCACCTCTGCTTTCTTCTTCCGTTACCTCCCCCTCTCCCTTCCCTCCCCTCTGTCCCTTCCCACTCACAGGACCTCACCTGCACACCAATCTTGCTGCCAACAACAGAGGCAGAGGCAGGGATACTGTCAGCACAAGTCAGGCCAGGGTTGTTGCGGTACAGCTCAGCCCAGTGGTCAGCGCTCAGGTTAGGCTCACTGACGGTCCTCTGAAGCAGCCGGTCGCACGTGTCTTGAGGAGTGAGTATGCCGTGCTTCACACACTCGGGAACGGTGAACGCGAATGCAGCGTTGCGCTCAATGCACACCGAATGGCCCGCATTGATGGGCGTGGAGCAGTCAAGGCCGGGGTTGAGCGCGGGAAGGGAAGCTTCGTCCAAGTTGGTGAGATCGCTGATGGTGGAACAGAGCTCTCCCTGGGACATTGTGTGGTTGGTGGAGAACAGAGCGGTAGGGCGCATGTGCTGGTTACATAGTGTGCTGGGTATTGGGAATGTCGTGTGGCATAAAGTTGCGGGCGGGATGGCAACGAGCGTGTTGTGGTTGGTGGAATCAAATTGGAACGGCATTGCAAAATCTGACATGTAGGAGAGCAGGAGGATTGAGGTAGGTCAAGCTTTGGTGCAATCCAAAGGGCATGGTACGGAATCTCACATGGAGGGAGTAGAAGAAGGCAGTGCAGGGTGTGGCGGGTGTGCCATTCACTTGGAGGACGGTGCCTCTGGGCAGTGGCCCACTGCAGTCTATAGCCTGCAGTCGTTGGGAAACACATGCGTGGTAAAGCGACAGGGCGAGTGAGAGAATCGCTTTGTTGTACCCTGCATGAACGTGCCAGCCACACTCTGCATTTGAGGCACCTCAAACGATGGTGCCACCCCACACCCTGCATCCCACGGCTCTCACTCCTTTACCCAACCCTTACCGCATTGTGGAGTGTGAAATCAGCCAGTGAGAGTCCAACAAGGGGATAAACATCTGAGCATAACCAGTTGTCTCCAGTGACTGTCATGTTGGTGGCTGTGCTGTTAGCTGGAAAGCACACAGAAAGTTGATCAGGAAGACGGAGACATTGGGGAAGGGGAGAAAGTTTGAAGACTGAGAAAAAAAATATGAAAAACCAATTCCATCTCCTGCATTCCTGTGTGAACAAAAAATGCAAACTTGGGGTAAAAAAGAATGAAAGACTGCAAACAGGAGACACTGACAAATCCAAGCACCACAATACCTGGATCGCATCTGGGGGTGTCAAATACAGTTGAGCTTTCAACGTAGTTGGGAGGGCAGATGCAAGCGTAGGAGCCTCTGCCATCGTTGATGCATGCGCCCACGTATGACCCACACACATCCACTGCAATGGGGTTGAGATGGATCGCACAGGGATGGGAGATAGAGGAACATCAGCAAGAGAGTGCTAACGTGGGGACACAAATGAGCGAATGAGACATGAGAATAGAGGACACAAGCGAGCATAAGACACCCAAAAGACGAGAATATGTGGAGTTTTGATGCCTCTTTTACCCCCTTTTGAGGTATCTTTAAAGAAAAAGGCTTTTGAGGCGCCTCAGAAGACACTAACGAACTCATGAGACATGGGGATAGAGGGCATGCCAGCATGAGACGATGAGGAGTTTTGATGCCTTTCTCCCCCCCCACCATGCGTCACCTCTCGCCAGCGCAGATTGGAACCACCACTACTGACTCGGACTGAACTGAACCAGCCGGTTTGCAGCCGCAGCAGTGCTGCCGTGCATGCCATGCTGTAAAAACACTTTCCTGGTTGGGCTTTTGTTCTCCTGGCAATTGGCTACCCAAGCATCTTCCCGCATGTGGTGAATGGAAGGGACGCTTGGATACACAATTCATCACTACCATGGCCCCACCCTTCCGATGAGAGTGTGCAAACACTCTTGGCAATGGGTGTGTGCATAAGCGTACCAGACTCAGTTCTTAAACAACGAATCAATGTGACTATCACTCACCTTGCTCTCTAGAGAAGCTCCTTGCAAATCCGAAATCTCTGAGATCTGCGATGCGAGCCCCCATTAAAATCAGAACCGGGTGATGCATGCATGGTTCAAAAGCGTGCATGGGATCCGTATCTGCCACCTAACAACTCAGCACCTACCCAGTAGTACCCACCCCCAGCTTACCATAAGCACACGTGCTGAAGCCATTCCCGTTTTCAACGTGAACAAAAGGCTGCCGGAGAGCTCCTTGTATGGTGCAGTTGCAGGTATAGGTGGCGTCATGAATCGCCATGCACTTGAAGCGACCGCACGGGTTCATGCCCGAGAGATCCTGGTCGCCCTTGTAGCTGTTGCTGCTGCACGGGTCCCCCGGAACTGGGAAGGCACGGGGGAAGATACATTCGATGCGAGGGAGGTGCATTGAGATAACATCTGAAAGACCATGGCACAAAGAGAACGGCAGTCCACTGCATCATAAGCAGGCCACTGGATAGGGGGCGTGGATGTGCCTGCATGCCGTCACCAGTGAAACCTGAAGGATCAGGGCCCAATCCATGAAGGATCAGTGCTTGAGATAAATTTGACTGACAGCACTTCAAATGTTGCATGCCAGTGGACCATGGCCAGGCCACTGATGGAATTCGTCTCATTCTTTCGCCAGATGTTGGCGGCGCTATACCAATGTTCCACTCGTTGTTTTGCTCACTCACTCTCATATGCGATGTTGTATCGCGAAAAGCTCGTTCTTGTATTACGCTACACGGCTTTTGATCATGGGGAGTAGACGCCTCACTCTTGACAATGGGGTAGATGCCTCACTCTTGACAATGGGGTAGATGCCAGGCAGCACGTTGATGCCACACACGCCATCCCCTCCCTGAATGTCCATGCGCATGTGGCCCCTGTCTCCCCACTCCTCTCCCCATGAGTTGCGGATAATCCAAAACGGCGGAGCAATGCGGTTCTGGCTGCCGTCGTTTCTATTAATGAGGTAGCCAACAACGAGTACAACGTGGTTCAGATTGCCGGTGTAGCACTCCGGATCCTGGTACTTGAACGTCTTAAGCCAAAAAGGGGGGCAACACAAAGGTACATACAATTAAATGCATAGTCAACTATGCTGGCATTGTGGTAAAGTTGAAGAAGATGAAAAGGAAGATGACGTTCAAACACAGAGGATTGCAACACAGACACTTGAAAACATGTTAATTTTGCAAGAAGGTTAAGGGGAACCACACTGGCTGAGTGTTGCAAGGACGTACAGATCATAGTCAACACAAAAACTCAACCAGCATAGGCGAGGCAAGGACTCACCCCGTCGTAGCCAACAAACGTGTCAGCGGAAGCCTCGATGTGAACCACCACTGGTTGCCGCCGCACCGCCAGCATGAGCCCCACATACCCCTTGAACGATGTGCGCTCAAAGCCCTGGATGGGGTACTTTGCTGTCTGCAGATTAGATATCAAATCAGATCAAATCAGATCAAATCAGATCAGATCAGATCAGATCAGAGCACACAGACAAAAAAACAAAGTGATCAAAAGACTGCTTGCCAGCATGGGTTGCACCTGCTGCACATGCCCCTTGAACTACGTCTGTATGTCGCTCAAACGCCAGCCTGCCTGCACGGGATACCTTGATTGATTGTTGCTGTCCGGGACCAGGATATGAGAAAGCGAAGGGAATAGAGGCGGCACTAGAGAGCATTCGCTTATCTTTCTGAAGCTGCCAAGCGGATTTCATAAGTTGCTTCAAGTTTCAACGACAAATCAATCTGAACTTCTTGGAGGCAGAACATTGAAGGTATGGTGTTTACCTACCTCGAATGCGCTACAAATACACTCTCATGCCTTGACCTCGCCTCACATCACTTACCACTCACCCCAAACCCTGTTTGTCTTACCCAATCACTGACCCCAGTCAGCCCACTCCCAGCATCAAGAGCGACGAGCTTCTCAAAAGCCTCAGTGGGTGAGCCTCCAGCGGAGCACTTGTCGGAATCAGCCAGCCCTGAGGCTGCGAAGAGTGGCTCCACTGATAGCTGGGGAGCACTCTCATGCCGTGCAATGCCGTATGCTGCTTCTATGCTCGCCACTACCGCGTACGCCCAGCATGCATCTGAGAAAGAACCAGAAGATGAAGCAGGGTGGGTGGGGAATGTGATACAGGTGGGGAAGCATGGTGCACTTTCTGCGGTGTGCACGCCGCAGTGCGGCAATGCCTAGAAGCTAAACTGAAAAGACATTTCCCAACCACAAGCGCTGCAACGTGCCACCCGCTTTTCACTCACTGCAATCGGCCTGATCCTTGACGGGCCATTGGAGGAAGTCCAAGGAGTTCCAGGTGTGGAAGTCACGGATGCGCCACGAGTCGTCACTGTTGGACGCCAGCTCGTAGTCCGTGCTCACATACCGCATGAACGGGCTGGCTCGCCGTGGCGCGTATGTGGCCGATGAGAGTGCGAGGCCGCGGGCTGCGTGAGAGGGGAAAAGGGATGGAGGAAGAAGGAAAGAAAGAGAGAGGCATGTGGATGGTGGTTTGTGAATCATATTAGTTCTAAATGGCCAGTATCACGATTGCTTTTTGTGTGAGATAAAGAGCTCACCTTGCTCTTTGATGCGGACTGACTTGGGTGGAAAAACGCCTGTGAGTGAGAATACACACATGGCACGAAGAAAGAAACGGCAAGATACAAGATGAGGATCGGGAGAGAGCCACAGGATTGGCAGGCAACGACAAGACAAGATCGTTCAATTCCATCATCTCCCCATTCCTATCCCCATCCCCATCCCCATCCTCATCCTCATCCCCATTCCCATTCCCATCCCCATCCCCATCCCCATCCCCATCCCCATCATCGTCATCCCCTTCCTCATCCGCATCACCCCTCTCAACACGCCCATACCTGTTTGCACCGCAGAGCGCACAATGCCATGCAGCTGGAACGGCTTCACCGTAGTGGACGCCACAAACCCAAAGAAAAATGCGCCCTGCCGCACACCACCCTGGAGCACCGCACACAGAGAGAACTCTTTCTGCAGCAGCGGCTCCTGTGGCTTTATCCTGGAGTCAGCTAGAAACACCTGGATGCTGCCGGGGTTTCCAGGCTCATAGTCCACCCATGCCGTGTACGCATTGCCATCGGTGAGAGTGTATGGAGACAGCTCAGAGACCACGGATCGATCCAAGCCGTTGATGTTCAACCCCACGTGCTGCCTGCTCACGTCGCTGTGGTTGCCATTCTGAAACGTGTCAAACTCCACCGCTAGGCTCCGCGCTCCCACCCCGCCATACCCCACGCCGTCACCCTTCCCCACCTTGGCCTTGGCTGCAATCACAAACGCAAAGCCGTTGGACCCTGCAGCGCCAGACTGGGGAACGAGGGAGAAGGTGAAGTTGACAGAGAAAGCGAGCTCCACACCGCATCGCTGGGTCTGGGTCATGGCGGTCGGGTATGCAAACAGGGTCAGTGGCTTTGCCATGAACTTCCCTGCCGTTTCCCGCGTGGTTCCTTTGGTGAGCGCGGTGAAAGGAGGGAGAATAGCGCCTCTGGTAGGGAGCGCCTTCACCCAGCCTGAAAGGATGCGTTGGGGAGGGATGCAGGAACCAGGGAGATGATGCTTTCATTCCAGTGCACGTGCTGTTACTCTGCTTGCGATGCCCATGCTACAGAAAAAATGAGCAAAGCTTTTTCCTTCACAAAAGTGCACACGTATGTATTACCTTCAGCAACGCAGGTGTGTCCTTGAAGGTGCAGAAACCCCGAGTCACACATACACGCCGGCACCAAGCTCGGCCCGTCTGGATAACTAGTCGCACGAACTTGACCTTGACCATCACACGCAGAAGTAGCGTTGGTGATGCCGCAAAACGCCATGCACTCTGCTGCTGGCCTTTGCAGCTGAGAGCTACAGGCATTGTGCAGTGTGAAGCAATTGGCGATGATGTTGTGCTGGTGGCAGCTGGATTTTGATAGAGCCCCCGACAGGTAGTTGCTTGCCAGGTCCATTTTGAATTGCGTGGTGATTGCAAGGGGACCTGTGAGGTAGTTGTGTGAGAGGTCACTGCAATGGTGTGGGGAGTAATGGGAGGTGGGTCGCGGTTAAGGGGTGGTGTGGTGTGGGGTACGAAAGAAACACAGAGAGGCCGTACGGAATAGGCATTGGAAGAGAAGCCGTTCACGTGTGGCTGCTGTGCGGTGATTGGTGCATGCACCAGTTGAGCTAAAAAGGAGAAATCGGAAGGGGGTGCGGTGTAGGTGGAGAGCAGGAGGAGGGGGGGGGGGGGGAGGAGGAGGAGGAGGAGGAGGAGGAGGAGGAGAAGGAGGAGGAGGAGGAGGAGGAGGAGGAGGAGGAGGAGGAGGAGGAGGAGGAGGAGGAGGAGGAGGAGGAAGAAGAGGAAGGGGAGGAGGAGGAGGAAGGGCGGGCGGAAGCTCAACCACTTTTTGTCAACTGCCTTCATCCATGCCTCCCTACATGTCATACAAAGTTGAAAGCAATGGACCCTCCATGAACGAAGATGCTACATGTGTCAGCAGAAAGTGATATAGTTGCCTGACATTACCACTAGGGCTGTGCTGCAGCATGGATTGAGCATGAGGGCAGAATGAGGGAACAGAAGAGCAGTGGGCGGGTATGAGAGTATGAATATGAGTGTGATGTGATGTGACCACTGATCAATGACAACAAATGAGGTGACCATGTTGCATCTCACAATTTTCCATAGGTGCATCAATGCTAAGGAGTGTATCAGAATCTCCATCATTCAGTGATGCTTGTTGTGCGTACCATTCTCCTAGACCTGTGAACTGTGAGAGAGACGCAGGCAAGCTGCCATACAGCTGGTTGTATGCGAGCGAGCTGATGGTTTGTAAGGGGAGCAGTATACAAGGGAAGAAGGGTTGAACGGAGGGATGTCAAAGAGCGGGCATTGCACAACAATCATGCAAAGGGGTGGCTCGTGGTAGAAGAACAACGGAGTTTGATGTAAAAATGGTACAAAATGAGAAGCCGTGCCCGTGTAAGCATCATTTGTGACAGAATATTGAAGAGCGCGGGAGGTGTGACACATCATGAGCACATGGACTAGAACCATTGGGTGCTATGCAGTGCAATTAAATTCTGATTCTTGCCGAGCATTCTTAGAAACACCCTGCAGCTTGGAAGCAAGGGTGGGTGAGAGAAAGATCAAGCGATCGCAGCAGTGTGGGATGCCTAAGGAAGGTTCATGTTGGGGGCTCACAGGCGATATAGGTCAGTGAGGCTGCCAATCGTGCTTGGAATGGTTCCCCCAATGTGGTTGCTGTATAGCCGCCTGGAGTCAAGAGGAAGGAAGACGGTGTGAAGGTTAGGGCAGTGGTAGCTTTCAAAAGGTGGGCTGGGCATGGATTGTGGTCTGATATTGCACGACATATGGGGTATGTGTGCTGCGATGTACATTAGAAATAAAAGCAAGAGGCTGCATGCGAAATGTGTGCATTTACATTCGCTAATCCAAGCATTAGGCACGTGATTACTGAGTTCAATACATAAGCACATGGCCTTCAATACACGATGGCTGCCATGCACGAAATGATACTTTGCCATTAGAGACATGGACGCATGGCATGGTCGCATAGACGCATGGATGCATGGAAGCATGGATGGATGGACGCATGGATGCATGGATGGATGGATGCATGGATGGATGGATGCATGGATGGATGGATGCATGGATGGATGGATGCATGGATGGATGCATGGATGGATGGATGCATGGATGGATGGATGCATGGATGGATGGATGCATGGATGGATGGATGCATGGATGGATGGATGCATGGATGGATGGATGCATGGATGGATGGATGCATGGATGGATGGATGCATGGATGGATGGATGCATGGATGGATGGATGCATGGATGGATGGATGCATGGATGGATGGATGCATGGATGGATGGATGCATGGATGGATGGATGCATGGATGGATGGATGCATGGATGCATGGAAGCACGGATGGACGCATGCGGGGATCGGGATGTGCCTTGATGTGGTGGGGAAATAAGACTTGACCAACAGAAACTCACAGCGACCCAAGCTTGGAAAGCTTGCTGAATGTGGATGGAAGAGGCCCTGAGAGCTTGTTCATGCTGAGCTCCCTGCACACGTGCATTTGCAGCAGCCGGGGAGGGCGGATTTTCAACGCCCTGCACTGCATGTGCCACTAGAAGTCTAGAAGATGTACATGCATTGCCTGCTGTGAGGTTGGTTGCAGATTGTTTCTGCTGCACTTGAGCAGCAAGGTATTGGCTGCACTTGAGCAGCAAGGTATTGGCTGCACTTGAGCAGCAAGGTATTGGCTGCACTTGAGCAGCAAGGTATTGGCTGCACTTGAGCAGCAAGGTATTGGCTGCACTTGAGCAGCAAGGTATTGGCTGCACTTGAGCAGCAAGGTATTGGCTGCACTTGAGCAGCAAGGTATTGGCTGCACTTGAGCAGCAAGGTATTGGCTGCACTTTTGCAGCACCTCACCAACTGCTTGGACTGGAAACATTGCACCGCATTGCACTGTACCGTATCGCACTGCTGCGCTGCGCTGCAAATCGCGCTCAGGCAGATGAGGAGAAGAGTGATGGCAATACAGAAAGAAACGAGAACATGGTCTGATTCAGGGGAAACACAAAGAAGATTTCAAAAGATGGATGGGATGGGATGCCATGGGATGGGATGGGATGGGATGGGAAGGGATGAGATGGATGGGATGGGACGGATGGGTTGGAATGGGATGGGATGGGATGGGATGGGATAGGATGGGATGGGATGGGATGGGATGGGATGGGATGGGATGGGATGGGATGGGATGGGATGGGATGGGATGGGATGGCCAAGGAGTGAGTGACGGTGGGTAGGTGGCAGCGGCTTATAGCCACTTCAGATTGGTGAGTGAGAAGATGCTTTCTGGTAGGCTGCCTTCCAGCTCATTCTTCTCTAGGTTTCTGGTAGAGGGAGGGAGTAATAGGACCAGATTGGGGGCATGAATGAGATCAGCACGGGTATTGAAGATCAGCCATGCATCTTTCGCATGGTGTGGCATGGCATGGCGTGGCATGGTGTGGTTTCGCATGTCCTCGCATGGCGTGGCTTGATTTGGCGTGGCTTGTTTTGGCATGGCATGGCATGGCAACACTGACAGGCCATGGAGATTTCTGAGGCTGCTGATGGATGGGGGGATGGGGCCTGTCAAGCGGTTGCTGCCAAGGTACCTGGAGCACAAGGAAGAGTTCATGAGCGGGCGAGAGAGTGAAGGCACGGTGGAGGGAAAAAGGACTGTGGGATGTGAAGAGTACGATTTTTGACTCTCCCCATAAACCGAAGTATGTGAAGAGTGCACGTGCGTGGGCAAGGCAAGGCAACACTTGCAAAGAATCGGCCCTATTAGCTGAAGCATATGCATGGTCGTATGCAGGGAAGGAGAGAGTTGTGATACGTGGAATGGGAAGGAGCGGAGGAGGAGGAGAAAGGCTGAATGGAGAAAATGGGCACAGACTGTGTGCAAGATGTGAGTTGAACAAGTGATCTGATTAGAGAGCAAACCTAGCATACATAGTTTGGGAAGAGAAGCTTGGAAGGGAAGGAGGAACCCAACCTATGGTTGGGTTGGCCTCACTTTGGGAAGTGAGGCAACCATAGGTGGGGTGGGTTGGGTTGCCCACACTTCTAAGAAGTGTGGCAACCCTAGGCCCACTTGGCTTGTGGTGGCCTCAATTGTGAAGTGAGGTACCCAAAAAGTCAAGAGGGTTGCAATTTGGGGGCTCCACCACAATTGGGTGGATTGGCACCCCAAAGTGCAAGACTACACCCAATGTTGGGTGTAGTCCCAACCCAACTGTACACCACAATTGGTGTACAGTCACATGTGCTTAGCATGCTACAATATATAATTCTAACACAACCCCTTAGCATGCTAACACAAGAAGAGAACAACCCCTGAATCAAGGGGCGCCCGGGCGAGCGAGGCCGATGAGGCGGAGGAAAGCGGAGTGCGCAGGGCGAAGGAGGGCCTTGGTGAAAATGTCGGCCAAGTTGGCCTCGGTCGCAATTTTGCGAACGGCAATGAGACCCTTCTGGACAAGCTCGCGAATGAAGAAATAGCGGAGCTCGATGTGCTTGGAGCGGGCATGATAGACAGGGTCCTCAGTGAGATGGATGGTGCTGGCATTGTCGCACCAGAGAGTGGGGCACGTCTGGGGAGCGCCAAGCTCGGTAAGGAGGAAGCAGAGCCAGCGGGACTCCTGAGCGGCCATGGTGCCGGCGTAGAGCTCGGCCTCGCAGGTGGAGAGAGAGATGGCGGAGGAGCGGGTGGAGCGCCAGCTGATGAGGCCGCTGCCAAGGGTGAAGCCGTAGCCCTGGGAGGAGCGGCGGTCCGGCTGCGTGTCGGCCCAGGAGGAGTCGCTGAAGCCCGAGAGGAGAGGAGGGGAAGAACCGCCAAGGGTGAGGGCAAGGTCCTTGGTCCCTCGAAGGTAGCGGAGGACCCGCTTGGCCGCCTTCCAGTGCTCCTCACTGTGGCGGCCGGTGCCGACGAAGCGAGCGAGCACGCTGATGGGATAGGCGAGGTCGGGGCGGGTGCACATCATCGCGTACATCAGGGACCCAACGAGCTCGGCATAGGGGTGAGGGGAGGAGGTGGGAGAGGTGGGTGGGGCGAGTTGGTGGCCGAAGGGGAGGGGGGTGGAGACGGGCTTGGCCTGCGCCATGTCGAACTTCTCCAAGATCTGGCCGATGTAGTGGGACTGGGAGAGGGTGATGGTGCGAGCAGAGCGGTCACGAGTGATAGCCATGCCCAGGTAGTGGGTGAGGGCTCCAAGATCTTTGCACTTGAGACGCTGCTGCAGGGACTGCTTCATCTGCTCCATGTCGGCCTTCGTGTCAGAGAGCAGGATCATGTCAACCACATACACCAGGATGAAGAAGCGGCGGGGGGAGGAGCGGATGAAGAGGCTGGCATCGAAGTGGAAGGCAGAGAAGCCGAGTGACCCTAAGGTGGCAGCCAGCTTTGCATGCCACTCGCGCGGCGCCTGCTTCAAGCCGTAGACAGGGCGACGCAGCTGCCAGACAGTGTTCTCAGGGAAGGCTGCGTGGAACCCGGGTGGCCGGCGGAGGAAAATGCGCTCATGCAGGTCGCCCTGCAGGAACGCATTGGAGACGTCCATGCAGTCGATCTCCATGTTATCACGCGCACCGATGTCGAGGGTTGCGCGAAGGGTGGGGGGTTTGGCGGTGGGGGCGTAAGTGAACCAGAAAACCTCCCCATGTGTCTGTGTAAAGCCCTTGGCGCAGTAGCGGGCCTTGTAGACCGGTTCCTCGTCCGGCAGTTGCTTCACCCGAAAGACCCACTTGCCCTCGACAAGATTGGCATCGTCAGGGAGGGGGACGTCGACGAAGGAGTCGTTGCGGATAAACGCCTCGCACTCCTGGAAGATTGCTGCTATCCACTTGTCCGCGTCAGGGCATGTGATGGCCTCTTGGAAGGTGGAGGGAGTGAAGATGGTGGGGGTGGAGGTGGCGCCGAGGACGGGGAAGCCAAGGAAGTCAAGAAAGAGGGTGGCTATGAACGGAGTGTGCTGCTGGATGGTGAGGAACTCCTCGTGAGAGTCCTCAAGGAGTTGCAGGGAAGGAGGAGGAGGGGTCCCAAGGATGGGATCCAGAGAACGGGTGTGCATGCGGGGAAGGAGAAAGGGGGAGGAGCGGGAGGTGGCGCGCTGTCGCTGCGGGTGATGGGGTTGCTGTCCCTGCTGAGGCCGCTGCTGTTGCTGCTGCTGCTGCCGCTGCTGCGGCACCGGCTGCTGCTGCTGCTGCCATCCCGGCTGCTGCTGCTGCTGCTGCTCCGGCTGCTGCTGCTGCTGCCCCTGCTGCTGCTGCTGCCCCTGCTGCTGCTGCTGCCATCCCGGCTGCTGCTGCTGCTGCCATCCCGGCTGCTGCTGCTGCTGCCCCGGCTGCTGCTGCTGCTGCGGAAGGGCGGGAGAATGATGGGAGGAGGGAGGGGAGGGAGGGGGTGCAGCTGAGTGGGCGGGGGAGGCGGGTGCAGCGGGGTCGTAGACGTCGGCAGAGGAGGGAGGCGGGAGTGGAGCGGCGACAGGTGGGAGGAGGGGAGCGGGGGGGAGGAGAGGCGGGAGGACGGTATCGGTCCAGGCGAGGGGGCGAGTAGGAGGAGGGAGAGGATCAGGGGGAGGAGTGGAGTAATAGGGGACGGACTCGTCGAAGACGACGTCGCTGCTGCGGATGAGGCGATTGGTGGGAGGGTGAAGGAAGAGGTAGCCTGGGGAGTCGCGGTTGTGCCCAAGGTAAACACATTCCAGGGCACGAGGAGCAAGTTTGCCAGCGGCGCGGGAGCGATCGGCGGGTGGAATGAGAACGTAGGCCTTGCAGCCCCTGACTCGAAGGCCGGCAGCGTCAGGTTTGGTGTTGGACCAAAGCTCTGTGGGGGAGGAGGAAGGGTGCTGAGGATGGGAGCGGAGATTAAGGAGAAGGGCGGCGTGGAGGAGGGCATAGCTCCAGAGGGAAGGCGGGGTGGAGGCATGAGCAATGAGACAGCGAGCTATCTTGGTGATCTCACGAATGCGGCTCTCGGCAATGCCGTTCTGCTGAGGGGAGTGGGGAAGAGTGGAGGTCTGTTGGATGCCGTAGGTTTTGCAGTATGTGGCGAGAGTGTTATTGATGAACTCACCCCCACCGTCAGAGTGAAGGCGGCCGACGGGGCGTTTGAAGTGATTGCGGCACAGCTCGGCCCAGTTGATGACCACTGCCGGCACCTGGTCTTTCGTGTGAAGAAAGAAGGTGGTGGAGTACCGGCTGTGGTCGTCAACGAGGACGAGCATGTACCGGTGCCCCTGGCGGGAGCGGATGGGATAGGGGCCCCAGAGGTCCATGTGGACAAGGTCGATGGGGGCGGCGGCGAAGGTGGGATGGCTGTGGTGGGGTGACTGTTTGAGCTTGCCGTGAATGCATGAAGGGCATGGGGGAGAGGGGGAGGAGGGAAGGGGGGGTAAGACGGGAGGAAGGCTGCGGAGGAGGCAGGAGGTGACTGTGGTGCGAAGTGCGGTGAAGTTGGGATGGCCGAGTCTGTGGTGTAAGAGAACGGCAGGGTGCGAGAGGGTAGTGGAGGAGGAGGGAGATGGGGTGATGGAGGGGACGGGAGGGAAGGAGAAGGGGGAGGATGTGGGCGCCGCGGCAGGAGGCGCAGGCGGCGACGGTGTGGGTGCGGGCGGCCGACGGCGTAGTCGCGGCGGCGGGAGTTACGAACGGGTGGCGGGGCGGGAGGGGCTTCGGGATGTGCAGGCGACGGCGTGCGGGAGAGGCGACGACGAGGGGAGGAGGCGGCGGCGGCGGAAATGGCCGCGGCGGAGAGGGGAGGAGGCGGCGGCGGCGGATTGGCCGTGGCGGCGAGGGGAGGAGGCGGCGGCGGCGAAATGGCCGCGGCGGCGAGGGGAGGAGGCGGCGGCGGCGAGATGGCCGCGATGGCGAGGGGAGGAGGCGGCGGCGGCGGAAATGGCCGCGGCGGCGAGGGGAGGAGGCGGCGGCGGCGAAGTGGCCGCGGCGGCGAGGGGAGGAGGCGGCGGCGGCGGATTGGCCGCGGCGGCGAGGGGAGGAGGCGGCGGCGGCGAAATGGCCGCAGCCGCGAGGGGAGGAGGCGGCGGCGGCGAAATGGCCGCGACGGCGAGGGGAGGAGGCGGCGGCGGCGGAAATGGCCGCGGCGGCGAGGGGAGGAGGCGGCGGCGGCGAAGTGGCCGCGGCGGCGAGGGGAGGAGGCGGCGGCGGCGGATTGGCCGCGGCGGCGAGGGGAGGAGGCGGCGGCGGCGAAATGGCCGCGGCGGCGAGGGGAGGAGGCGGCGGCGGCGAAATGGCCGCGACGGCGAGGGGAGGAGGCGGCGGCGGCGGAAATGGCCGCGGCGGCGAGGGGAGGAGGCGGCGGCGGCGAAATGGCCGCGGCGGCGAGGGGAGGCGGCGGCGGCGGCGGCGAAATGGCCGCGACGGCGAGGGGAGGAGGCGGCGGCGGCGGAATGGCCGCGACAGCGAGGGGAGGAGGCGGCGGCGGCGAAATGGCCGCGGCGGCGAGGGGAGGAGGCGGCGGCGGCGGAATGGCCGCGGCGGCGAGGGGAGGAGGCGGCGGCGGCGGGAATGGCCGCGGCTAGAGTATGCTAGGTTGAGCCAAACGTAGGAGGGAAATTGTGGCTGTGGGGTGGGCCCATAGAAAAATAACTTGAGGGAGGGAGAGTTAAGGCTTTAGGAACAACTAGCTCGATACCATGTGAAAGATGTGAGTTGAACAAGTGATCTGATTAGAGAGCAAACCTAGCATACATAGTTTGGGAAGAGAAGCTTGGAAGGGAAGGAGGAACCCAACCTATGGTTGGGTTGGCCTCACTTTGGGAAGTGAGGCAACCATAGGTGGGGTGGGTTGGGTTGCCCACACTTCTAAGAAGTGTGGCAACCCTAGGCCCACTTGGCTTGTGGTGGCCTCAATTGTGAAGTGAGGTACCCAAAAAGTCAAGAGGGTTGCAATTTGGGGGCTCCACCACAACTGGGTTGATTGGCACCCCAAAGTGCAAGACTACACCCAATGTTGGGTGTAGTCCCAACCCAACTGTACACCACAATTGGTGTACAGTCACATGTGCTTAGCATGCTACAATATATAATTCTAACAGACTGAACATAACTCGTAGAAATTGGGAGGTGAAAGCCCATAGAAGCGGGCCTGACATGGGAAGGACAGGGCTTACAGGTAGGGCCCTGGGGCGACAGAAAGGAGAGTTGGGCTTACACCCTGTCCAGATTTGTGAGGTTGCTGATTGCGGGAGGGATTGGGCCGCTGAGCTGGTTGTAGTCCAGCAATCTGGGTCATGATGGCAATGAATGGGAAAGGAACAAAACAAAGGGTTCAGCACCACGAAGCATAATGGAAATTCTCGAAACAGGATTCAAGATGGGGGGTGGGGGGGGGGGGGGGGGGGGGGGCCCTCCCCTTTTTGGGAGTGGGGGAGAGTGGGGCGGGGGGGAGGGGGGGAGGGAGGAGTGAGGGGGAGGGGGGGGAGAGAGAGGACTGATGATACAAGAAGCATGAGAAGAGAGAATGGATAGGATGGTTGAGGAGTAGCCTTGAGGCAAGCGGCATGACAAAGACATAGAAGGGCTTACAGGCCTTTCCTGTTTTGTGACATGTCTCAAGAATTGTCTACATACAGGACACTCAGTCTTGCAAGATTGCCGATCGCTGCCGGGATCGAGCCTGTGAGCTGATTATAGGAGAGGCCTCTGCGATGTGAGGCCGAACGCGCATGAGAGAATTCAGTGGGGGGAAAAAGAGGTGAGGCGAGGTTTAGTTTGCTCGAAAGAAAGAGAAGGTCGACAAGGGGTTGGTGAAATCACTGGGAAAAATATGTGTATGTATACATATACATATACATATATATATGTAATGTATATACATATGTGTACACACACACACACACTCACACACACACACACACACACACACACACACAAACACACACACACACACACACACACACACACACACTCACACACAAGCAAACACAAATGAACAAGAAACGAAAGAAAGGAAGACAGAAACAGAAAACAAAACTGAAGCAGCACGCAGCCCATCGTGATGATTGTTGTCCCCGGGACAGTGCACAGGCGATAGCAAAGGACGGGCAACGGTCTCGAAAGACGGGGTTTGGGGAAGTGAGGATAGAGGTTTTAGCAAACGCCTTACAGATGTTCCAGGCTTGTGAGAGTGTAAATTGATGAAGGGATTGACCCTGAGAGCTGATTATTGCTTAGACCTCTGTGGAACACAAACGGTGCATTTGACAGGAACGAAGAAAGGTTAAGAGGGTTGAAATAGAACGGCCAAGAGAAGACTTGCATGAGAAGACGCAACAGGAGAAGGATTGGAGAGGACGGACAGGGCGGAGATTGGAGCGAGCAACGGAGCAGAGTAGCCAAGCAGTTGTGATCTAATGGGAGAGGCCTCATTCAGCTGTGATGGCAGCGGCCTTACAGTTTTGACAGCTTGTCAAGGTTGCTGATAGCAGCTGGTATTGAACCCGTGAACCGATTATTATGAAACTCTCTGTGACAATGACCATAATGGGGGGGTGGGGAGGGGAGAGGGTAAAGAAGGGGAGGGAAGTGATGAGGGAATATGGGATGAGTGAGGTGGTGATTGCGGAAGAGGAAGCAACGTTTATATACACTCCGTCACTGCTGTGTTCCCTAATCACTCTCTAACCACACTACCTTGCATGAGACGAGACCCTCTGTCAGCTCCAGCCTGCAGTACCTCTCTCGTGCTCTCATCTCCTCCTCAGCCCCATGCACGCTCCATCACCCTCCCTGCTGCTCTGCTCACACCTCCCCATCGAGGCTTCTCATGAAGCAATTCTCTGCCCAGTGCATGCTGCACGGTGCGTAGTGCACGGTGCGTAGTGCATGGTGCATGGTGCATGGTGCGTGGTGCATGGTGCATGGTGCATGGTGCGTGGTGCATGGTGCGTAGTGCATGGTGCATGGTGCATGGTGCGTGGTGCATGGTGCATGGTGCATGGTGCGTGGTGCATGGTGCACGGTGCATGGTGCATGGTGCATGGTGCGTGGTGCATGGTGCGTGGTGCATGGTGCATGGTGCATGGTGCATGGTGCATGGTGCGTGGTGCATGGTGCGTAGTGCATGGTGCATGGTGCATGGTGCGTGGTGCATGGTGCGTGGTGCATGGTGCATGGTGCATGGTGCATGGTGCATGGTGCACGGACTGAAAGTTCATCAAATGCGACCAGGCCTTGCAGGCAGGCGGGTCTCAGAGGGTGACAGGTCTTTGGCATACGGATGAGAGCGACTGATGAGGGTCACACCAGCAACGGCTAGCGGACGGGAATCCGGGTTCCCATGCATTCTCAGTGGCACATGCAGCCAGGCAGCTTAAGGGGTGGCATGTGCAGCATTTGGTAATGTATATTTGCCCCTCAGCTGGCTGAGAGCGAATGCCACTCTGCTGAGAGCGTATGCCACTCTGCTGAGAGCGAATGCCACTCTGCTGAGAGCGAATGCCACTCTGCTGAGCGTATGCCACTCTGCTGAGAGCGTATGCCACTCTGCTGGGAGGGCTGCAAGAGGACGTCCAATCATCTGAGAAGGGTCCTTCTGAGAGTTGGAACTGCTCGTGCCCATTCCCGCTATTGGAAGCAAGCAGTCCCACAATGGGTGGCTGGCTGGTCGGCACATACATGCAGCAGGCAGTCGAGAGGCCAGCATAGCACCTACTGGTAGTTCACACATCTGAGGTGCCTTGATTATCTGGCTGGAAACTGGGGAAAGCACAGTGCACCGTACAGGTAACTGAGACTCCTGAGGTCGCCTCTTGCAGAGCTTTCTGCGGTTTGAATCCTTCTAATTCCCTGCAGGCGCCTTAGAACGTACAAGTATACGGCCTTCCTGAGGTTGCCAATGGAGTCCGGAATGGGCCCTTCCAGCTCCCAATCCCCCGCGTATCTGCACCAACACATTGCATGGCAGCGCATGACACAGCAAACAGAATGGTAGACCTCAATGAGAACCTGCACCGCATCATCGCACCACCTCAATGAGAACCTGCACCGCATCATCGCACCACCTCAATGAGAACCTGCACCGCATCATCGCACCACCTCTCATGCCACGCCACACAAAACGCTATTAAGTACTGCCATGAGAGGTGAGCGGTGAAGGTCGCGCTCACAGAGCATGAGGCGGTCAGGGCGCGCAGTGGAGGCTTTCCTCCCTGCATCAGTGCTGCGGGGCGTCACCTTCCCCCACATGGGCGCGCGGCACGCAGGGCGCACAGGTGCAAGGAAGGAACTCACATGGTCTCGATCATCCCGTCACTGTCACATCTCATAAAGGGCACTTCTGAGCAGTCGGGGCGACTCCACCAAGAGATCCTCACCCCATGCCGTCTGACAGTCCTGTAGGAATTGTACTGCGGGGTGTGGAAGGGTGTAGTTTGGTGTGGGGAGGCGGATGGGGGATGGAGGGAGACGAGTGAGTGGAAATGGGGTGTGGAAGGGAGGTGGGGGGGAGAAACGGCGCCGAGATGGGAGAGGATGGTGGGGATGATGGAGAGAAACGGGGAAAAGCGAAATGGGGAATGAGTGGGGCGTAGGGAAGTGGGAACGGCGGGTGTGACCAACGGCACGTAGGGTACTACAACGGGCAGCGGCCTCTCACATTGCGAGGCCTCAAACGGCACGGCGTGGACCATGGCGGGCGTGACGAGGCGCGTGGCGGCAAGGGCGGCGAGGCACCATGCGAGTTCCAGCGCGCCGCGCTGCTGCTGTCGCTGCGTCCGACGTTGATTCAACGGCTGCTGCTGCCGTTGCTGCTGTTCTAGCCGACTCCCACGGCTGCGCGCGGCGGCCGTGCCCTGGCCGCAGCTCACCGGCGACGTCGCCGCCTCTGGAGCCGAGAGACCCGAGGAGCACGCGCGGAGGCTGGAGCGGCCGCGCTTCCGCAACTGCATCTGGGAGGCTGAGACCATTGGCGCTGTCATTCTGCTATGATTACGCCTACGTGACGACGCAGCAGTCGTGTGCTGACGTGGCGCGCTGCTGATGGGTACTCTCGATCCTTCTACGATTGTAAAAAGAATGGGAAAAAGAATGAATGCAACTTCTTCTGTGAGCGCGCCGTGGCCGATTACGTAAAATAAACTCAAACATAGTATTACTACGCATAAATATGAACTACGCATAGACACATTCCCGTGTCGGTGGTGGGCTGGGAATGGATTTTGGAATGCAGGAGCTTCTAGTAGCTTTCCAACACACGCGACAAGAAGCAAGTTGGAACGAGGGTCTCGGCAAGTCAGGGCGGTTCTCGTCGGTCTAGGGTAGTTGAAGACCCCGTCAGCTCGCTGTGTGTCAGCAGATCCGAGCAGCTACCATGTGAGAGAGTTTGCACGGTGTGCGAATGATGAAAGGCTGTAAATCTTGTGTCTTGTGTAACTAAGTCCATAAAGCCTTGCAATAACCGTGGTCTGCGGAGTCAGCGATTTTTTTTTTTTGGGTTGCGAAGCAACCTATTGCAATCGACCTAAAGGGAAAAAAAAAAATTCCAAATTTTTTGTTATTTGTTTATTACAAAAAGAAAATAACTAAAGAATGTTTCATATTATATGGAAAGAATATAAAATAACTAAAAACCTGATAATCTTTTCATAACGGTCATACAGTATAGGTCATTATTTCTTCAAAGAACAAATAATAAATCTAATCAATTAATTTAATACTATTTTTAGCCTCGTATTAATGCACCGTAAGCTCACCTCACCTTCAACATAATACATTGGAATCCGTTAACAATATTTACATACTGAAAATCTTGATTATTGCAATTTTAGAAAAAAGAAAATCCATTAAAGAAACAATACTGATAGCTATAATGGTCGTGTAAAACGATCATTACAGAAGTGTATTGTTGAATTTGAAAGTGAAATACGATATTGAAATATATTCATCGAGAAAATCGGTGAACATATTTCATGGTTTTTAAAATTAGCAGTTTATGTAACGTTTGCCGTTTTCAAAGCGTATAGTACCGTTTCCCCAGCCTAGCGTGGGGGGGAAACTGAGTAGTATAGACGTTGGGAGATAACATAAGCAATACAATCTGCGAATCTCAAAGACATGACTACGTCGATCAAGTCCAGTTCAAAATGGCTTCACTGTCATAGTGGTACACCACTGAACCTTGTGTGACGATGATCGGCAAGTCATCTCTTTGTGACGCGCAGACATGCATTACTAACGCAACCATAAGCACCACATGAAAAAGCATTATTATGAGAAGTCATGCTAGCAATTAAATATATGTTATCTAGAAGAATAGTATTAAGCACGCGTATGCTTAAAAAAACGTTGTTGTAGAAGATGTCATCTTGCAAAACCTGCAAGTTAAAAAAGGCGTGAATAACATAAACAGTACGCATACGAAGATGTGATATTAAGGCGCTGAATATAACGAAAAGGGAAAAAAAAAAAACAAGAGAATACATGCAATACAAACAAATGAAGCGGAACGTGAAGGAAGTTGAACTTAGTGAACGATAAAAACTAAGGTGTAGTTCTTACATCAATATCATTAACATTCTACTCAATGACCTGCAGGCAACAATGCATATTGATAAAAGAATCAAACGGTTGGAAATCAATGGGTCAGATCTGTTAAGAGAACTAGGCAAGAATGGTGCATTGAATGGAAGAATTGGGTACAAGTAGCAAACCCTAGTTGGGGTTGTACCCCATATCAGCTACCCCACTACAGCCTACCAACATATAACACATTACAATTTAACACACCCCCATAGGCAAAGTGGGGGAGAACAAAGGGTCACAAGACCAGTCCAGCAAAGCAACGCAAGCCCAGGGTGGATCACAAAGTCACCACACTCCGAGCACAAGCAAAGGCCACAAGGCCAGTTCACATGCAGTGTTATATATAGTACAAGACAAGCAACAAGATATATATAAAGTACAGTACAAAGAATGTCAAGCAGTGAGCAAGTGAGGAAACGTGGACACAAGGCCTAAAGAAGTACAGTGCCGCTGATGATCACTAGGCGGGAGCGCCTTGGTGAAGATATCAGCGGTGTTGGCCTTCGAGTCCACGTACACAAGCCGAAGCTGACCTCGCTGCTGCAGCTCTCGAGCAAGAAAGTAGCGAAGAGCAATGTGCTTCGTCCTGTGCTCCAGTCTGTGCTCCTGACACAAAGCAAGGGCCGCCTTGTTGTCGCCGTACAGAACTGGAGGAGAACTAGGCCGCTCTCCCAAGTCAGTCAGCAGGTAGGTGAGCCAGCGTAACTCCTGTGCAGCCATGGCCGTGGCGTAGATCTCAGCCTCACAACTAGAGCTGAGAACAGAAGAAGAACGGGTGGACCGCCACGAGACAGAACCAGAGCCAAGGCTGAAGGTGTAACCCTGCGACGACCGCTGCGTAGCCAAGTCGTCCACCCAAGAAGCGTCCGAGTGACCAGTGAGAACAACTCTGTCGTGTCCTCCAAGCACCAGCCCCATGCCTGATGTACTGCACAAGTAACGCAGCACCCTCTTAGCAGCCTCCCAGTGCTCTCTCCTGTGTCTCCCAGGCGCAACGTAACGAGCAAGGATGCTAAGAGGGTACGCGAGGTCAGGTCGTGTGCAAGTCATCAGGTACATGAGGCAGCCTACAAGCTCTGGGTACGGGCCACTCGGCTCTACGGACTCGTCCGAAGGTGGAGCTGAGAGCGAGTGGCTGGTAGCCAGAGGTGTGGCCTGTGGTGAGGAGAACTGGAAGCCGAAGCGCTGAAGGACCTGCTGCACCATGTGTGACTGAGTCAGGGTGATGGTGCGGCGAGCTCTGTCCCGGGTGATCCGCAAGCCAAGGTAGCTACGCAGTTCACCCAGGTCAGTGCAGGTGTGTCTCTTCTGCAGCTCCGACTTCACACGAGCGAGTGCCTCAGTGTCAGCAGTAGCAAAGACCAAGTCGTCGACGTACACGAGAATGTAGAACGGCGGCAGCGACGTGTCTGTGCGCAGAAACAGCGACGGGTCAGCAGTAGACGGCGCGAACCCAAGAGCCGCAAGTGTAGTCCTCAGTGTGTCGTGCCACTCACGTGGCGCCTGGCGGAGACCGTAGACTGGCCGGCGGAGGCTCCACTGGGTACCAGGAGGAAACGACCCAGTAAAGCCAGGTGGGCGGCGCAGCCAGATCTCCTCGTGCAGGCTGCCCTGCAGGAACGCTGTGCTGAAGTCAAGAGAGTGAAGCTCGTAGTCACGCTGAGCAGCAACGTGCAGCAGAACCCGAAGAGTGGTCATCTTCGGGGTGGGGGAGAAGGTCTGGAAGAAGTCAACCCCCTGACGCTGACTGAAGCCTCTAGCAACGTAACGAGCCTTGAAGACAGGCGGAGAACCTGGCGGCCGCTTCACCCTGAAAATCCACATGCCATCGACGATGTTCGCCCCAGGAGGGGGAACGTCGTCGACGTAGGTGCCTGTGGACTTCCAGGATGCCATCTCTGCGTCCATGGCTGTCTGCCACTGAGAGGAGTAGGGACCCGAGATCGCCTCTGCGTAAGTGCGCGGAGTGGGGATGTCTAGTGCATCCGGGTCTCCCTCAGGGGCAAGCAACCAGGCCACGAGATGAGGTACAGCAGCCGTGAGAGAGTCAAAGTCCTCCTGCCTGTCCTCAAGGACGTCCGTGCCAAGAGCACACTCACCCCCGACGGACGGAGGGCAGACAGACTCAGACTCAGACCGAGCAACAAGGCGAGCAGCGAAGTCTAGACGATAGGCAGCAGCAAAGTCAACCAACTCAGCGACCAGAGCAGACGCAGCCGAGGACTCAAAGGTAGGGTCAGTGACAACAGTAGCTAGGAGACGCGTGACTGTAGGGTGCTCAGCACGATACCGGTCAGACTCAGGGTCCGGAACAGGAGGAGGAGGGACACGCTGAGAAGCAGTAGAGGGACGCAGAGTCATGTAGTGAGTGCCTGGGACAGGAGGAGGACGCTCACGACGGACACGACGACCAGTGCGAGCAGTACGGACAGGCAACGCAGGACGAGACTCAGGCTCACGATGCTCTGTAAGACCTCCCGTGGGACCAGTGTAAGGAGAGGGAGCAGGGAGAGGCGAGGCAGGCGGTAACTGTGACTGCGGCTGGACAGTCGGAGGACACTCTACGGAGGGAGGAGGACAAGGAGGAGGAGCCTGCCCAAGAACCTGCTGAAGGAGCGGTACGAAGTACGGCCGCGGCCGCGCAGCGTCTCCAGAAGCAGAAGAGACTCCAGCGTCCGGGTCCCCAGCACCAGCAGCAGCGCCACCGCTCGGGTCCTCAGCTCCAGCAGCAGCTCCACCAGGTGGGTCCGCAGCACCAGCAGCAGCACCACCCCCAGGGTCCGCAGCTACAACTCCGCTAGCGCCGCCAGCTCCAGAGTCCCCAGCT